ACTAAGTTATCAAATTATGATTATAGAATATAGAACTGTATATACATTTACTAATTCTAATTATGAGAATATTTATTCCAATAAACCATATATCAGAATTCATAAAGAATCTAAAGATATTAGTAAAATAATATAACCATATAAACCAATAAGTTTAATTTCAAAAGAATATGAATTTAGTATAATAAAAAATAAACCTTGAAATAACATAATTAAATGAAGGAAAATATTCTAATAATATCATATTTAAGGATGAAAAATTAATTAAAGGATAAAAAAATTTTAGAATACCTAATAAAAATCAGTTAGAAGAAATCAATAAAATAAAAGAAGTAAAACTTTATTGGAATACTGGAAACATGAAAATAGAAGGAGAATATTATAATGGAAGAGAAAATATAAATAAACCAAATATATTAATAGATACAGGAGCTAGTGAGTATCATATAACTTCAATTAGAAATAAAAGTCTAATGACTCATAAAACTGAGCCATATAAGTATGTAAATTTTGATGGACAAGTACACATTACAGATTTAGAAGTTAAAGTACCAATAAAAATAGGAGGAATAGATCTTTTAGTACCATGTTATATATATATAGATAAAAGTATGGATATATATTCCCATATACTTTTAGGAATGAGTTTTCTAAATGGATTAGAAAATTATAGTATAAAAAGAGAAAGATTGTATATTGTTCATAATGGACTAACTAATTATGTAAAAAGAATTAGATGAATAATCAGATAAATTTTTCATTAGCTGTGTATATAAAAATTACTATTGTAGAAACAAATATAACAACTTGTACTTTAATAGATACATGAAGTGATATAATAATATTTAAAAGTTTTTTAATAAAATCATGAAATAATAATAGCAATATAGAAATAACTGAAGTTACAGGAGAAAGTATTCAAATAATTAATAGTGCTGATAAAATTAATATAATTCTTGGAAGTAAACAAGTAATAATAAATAAAATTTATAAATATGATAAACTAGAATGCGATATATTATTAGGAAATGACTTTATACAACAATTTCAATATTATAAACAAAACAATTATATGATAATGCTACAAACACCTTGTAGACACTTATTAAAAATTCCTAGAGAATTTAAACCTTACAGAGTTCAGCCAGTCCAACATGGTGATAAATGAGAGAAAAAACTAATTATATTTAATGTAATAAAAAATTAAAGAATATTATATAAAAAGATTCTAAAAATAGGAATAAAAATGAATATAGAAAAATTATTGAACAACTAGAAAAGGTTCATGAAGAAAATCCATTATTATTCTAGAAACCACGTCACCCAAAAGCCAAAATAGAACTAACAGAAAATATTATAATAAGAGTTAGACCAATAATGTATACAATAGAAAATATAAAAGAATTTAAAAATCAGATAAAAGAATTGTTAGAACAAAAACTTATTAGATCTAGTAATGAACCTCATAGTAGTCCAGCCTTTATGATTATGAAACATTCTGAACAAATTAGATGAAAAGTTAGGATGGTCATAAGTTATAAAGAATTAAACAAATATACAAAATTTGATGGCTACTTTCTACCAAATAAAGAAGTATTAATAAATATTGCAAGAGAAAAACAATATTATTCTAAATTTGATTGTAAATTAGAATTTTGAAAAATAAAAATGGAAGAAGATAGTATACAATACACTGCATTTAGCACACCTCAAGAAAAATATGAATAGTTGTTTATGTCATTTGGTTTAAAAAATGCACTACAAATATATTAAAGTAAAATGGATAATATATTTAAAAAGTTTAATAAATTTCTAATAGTTTTTATAGATGATATATTAATATGTTCTAATAGTAAAGAAGAGCATAGAAATCATTTAATCCAATTTATTAACGAATGTAAAATAGAAGAAATTGTACTATCTAAAAAGAAATCTATAATAGAAAAACAAGAGATAGACTTTCTAGGATTATCAATAGATAAAAGAAGGATAAAATTACAGACTCATATATCCAAAAAGTTAGAAAGTTTTCCAGATAAATTAGAATCCAAAGAACAAATACAAAAATTCTTAGGATGTTTAAACTATGCAGAAGGATTTATTGAAAATCTTTCTAAGAAAATGCATAAAATTCAAGTTTTACTTAGAAAAACAAATACTAAAGGATGGAATGAAGAACATACATAAATTACTAGCAATTATTAGAGGAATAAAAAAGTTCTCATTATTTTTATTGTCTAAAAAATTTATTGTTGAAACTGATAATTCTCAAGTTGCAGGATTAGTCAGGAGTAAATTACCATCAGAACCCCAATACAAAAAGACTCCATATATGGCAAGCTTATTTAGCATTTTATAATTTTGATATAGTTCATATAAAAGGAGTTAATAATTTTCTTGCAGATTTTCTCAGTAGAAATATAGAATTTGCTGATGGACAAAGCCAAGGCCATGAAATTATACCAATCTATCCTACATATACAAAAAATGACAGATTTTCTTAAAGAAGAATCCGAAGATATAAACTCTGGAGCAACCCAGATCTCAGAGATGTTCAACTCAAATATAAAAATACTTTTAAATATCACTATTGAGCATCATAAATATATCATAGAACTCAAAAATCAAGTTGGTGCTATTGCAGCACAACTAAAAGATATGCTGTCTGAGACAAATATACCAAAGAGCTCAGAAATTAGTTTTCCAAATCAATACCAAACAAGGACAGCTAGAAGCAGCAGTGGACCCATACTTGACAACATACCAACTAATAATAAAGGAGATTCCATTTCTGTATCATCAACCAAGAAAGTTATGATACGTGGAGATAAAATAGATACCAAAACAATCAGCATTATAGACCAAGAAGACAAAATCCCTTTAGATCCAAAAGAAGAAAAATATGTCGAAATAGTCAAAATTGCTTATGAAATAAAAATGAGTGATTCATATTTCATTTCTCCGGGAAATAATGTTTATCCCAGAATAACAGCCATGGAAGGAGGAGACATTTTATTTATAAAAATTATGGCAGACTATAGATTCATGGATTTGATATATCCAGGAAAAGATTTTATTAAAATTTCGAAGTTTGATGACATATTCATTAAAGAAGTATCCAAATTTGCCAAGGGAAGGAAAATATAATTGAAATTCTATTCAGTCAGTCCAGAATATGATGGAGTTTTTTATTATCCAATTGAACGCATAATTTTAATTGGATATGTTGCAGCCAATTTTCAAATTGATGTTACAGAAAATAATAGAAAAATTCTAACAGTGACAAAATCATGGATCAGACATAGAAGGGCACTTGGAATTAAGATAAAAAATTCTCGTGTTTGTGCCAATATGAAAATTGGATGTTGGTATCCAATGGAGGATATGCAAAATTAGAAATTTTAAAAAACTATATTACAAGATTTGATATACATCAATTTTCAGGATGTCCTACCACTATAAAAGAATCTTGCCAGTTAAGGGAGTGCCCCAGTTACATGTGAAGAAATAAAGGAAGATGACAATAATAGAGCATATTTGACAAAGGTGTCCAGCTGCATGTGAAGGCACTGAAGATAAGGAGTAATAATAGAAAAAAGATGCCCTATGGATAAAATATATGTGAAGATGTAGGTCTAAGGAGGAAAATAATAGAGAGTCAAGTGTGCATTGCTGATGTACTCAATGATGTAATATAGTCTCATAAACTTGTATAAATAGAGACATTGTCATAGATCATATCATCCTATCTTGAAATCTCGAGTTGTAAGCAATAGTTACTTAAAAACCCCATTCCCAGTTTGAAAAACCAATTTTTCAGGAAATCTCTTCATACCAAATAGAAGTCTTGTATAAATTCTGATAGAAATAAAACTCCAATATTTTGATATGAATATGAGTTTCTAAATCTTTATTCCCATAAATTCTTGAAAGATCTGATAAAAAGTTTTCATCTTATTTTAGCAAAAAGAGAGTTTTTCTTTAACAAAAGTTTAGGATTTCATTCTTTAGAAGTTGATACAGTGAGAGCAAGTAGCTGAAATAGTAACAATTCTATGAAGGCAGGAGGCTGTTGAGGGAAGCAGTTTACAAATTTAGAGCTCGAAGGTCACTCGATTCTAAGAATACAAGTCCAAATCAAATCTAAGGTAAAACTATTAAACTTTTGCTAAAATTAGAATGAATCTTTTTAAGATCTTAAAGAATCGTAGGAATTAATTGCATGATGATCATTTGAATAAATGCTAGGATATACAATTAAAGGATTGAATAATTTATTAGAAAGAATGTTAGAAGTAATAAAAAATATGTATTCTCAATTATAAAATATGAATGCATCTTCTGAAGAATATAATATATTAAATAATAAATGTGAATAATATGTTGCAGGTTATTCCAATTTGTTAAATCATTGAATGAAATTATATTCAAATATTCAAAATAGGAAAAATATAAAATAGAATGTTTAAAAGATTAGGATATATATTGTAATATAGAAAGAATCTTTTCATTGATGATAATATAGACATTTCAACAAAATGAAATAGTGATAGGTCAAATAGAAAAATGCCCTTAAAGTTGGTCTGTTTTGCTCCCAAAATGTGAAGAAGATCATTTTCAATTGTTCATGGTTCGGGTCTTGGGGAAGGGATCGATTGATAAATTGGTAATTCTTGCTTCAAAGTTGCGGACAAAATTGAGAATGGAAATTCAGGTCTCAGTCTTCTGATGAATTGTGTTAATGAAATGCAACAAAGTCAAACTATCAAAATCTGATTAATTTTAATTGCACCAAACAGGCAATAAAGTAAGTAATTTCAATTACAAGCAAACTTGCCCTCTACAATTAAAAATGTTGCAATGAAGTGTGTTTGTGTGTACAAATTCTTCAGTGCCTTTCAACAACTGTACTTCTGTCACAGATATTTCATTTGTTTCATCCTCCGAAATTTAGGGTGTTGACTCTAGTCTCTCTCTCTACAGTTCTTCAAAGTGAGCTCTCCTTTTCTCGTTTAAAAAGTGATTTTTATAATTTGCAGCTTTTTATCAATTTCTGCGGATTATTGTGCTAAATTTTGGTGTGGTTGACTTGATGCGGATCTTGATTAAGCGATTTAATTGATTTGGGGATTTTGAGGAGGTGGGTCCCATTTTATCTGCAAAGAATGTTACAGGAGTTGAATTTATAGCTGCACACTCGATTTAGCGGATCTGCTAATGCTTCCTGTTGAAGTTCATTTCATGTTCTTGTAATTGCGTTCTTTCAATTTGTGTTATTTGTTGTACCTCGATAAAAGTGCGTTTCTTGAATCTAGTTTGTTTGGATAAAAAATAATTCTTGAATCTTGTTTGTTTGTACCTGGGTAATTTACAAAGCTGCTAATCACGTCTTAATTAATTTCATGTTGCTGGTCTTAGAGCTTCCTTGTTTTTCTTTAAAAAGTTGAAGAATTACGTGCTATTATCTTGGGGAAGTTGAACGCTCATCTGGAAACCAGATAAGAGAAGAAAAGGAAAGTCAAGCAGAGAAAACTGAATTTGCAAGGATATATGGTGAGTAGAATGCTAAACTCGTCGTGTGAATGAAACATCATTAACTTGCAAATTCTGAATAGAATATGTGGTGCATCTATAGGGCATATTTACTCTTTTCTTATGTCTTTACGTTAATAGATATCAAAGCTACATTTAAATTCTTGTATTGTTCTATGAAGAAGATGAGAATTGAGTTCAAGGGTTAACATTAGGATGCAGCTCATAAAATTTAAACTTTTTGATAACTGGCTGCATGTTATCCCTGAAATAACAAATGACTATCTCACTATTGAAATCTGGCAATGGTAGGGTTTCGCCATTTCCACCTGGCCATTTTTACATATATTAGATGTTATGAACTGAATTTTGTTCTTTGTTGTATATATTGATTCCAAGTGCTCCTTTTTTGTCCAGAATATTTTACCTGAAGCTGCTTTGCTTTTAGATGTGTAAGTAGAATGATGTGCTCAGTGGTTGCGGTATCATGAAGTTTTGGTAGGGAATATTTGGATATTATGCAGCAATTTTTCTGCTTCCATAAAAGGTTGACTGGACATTTCTGAAGGTTCGTTCCGAAGTTTTACTATTTTGGTTTAGATATTTATCTCATGTATTTCTATTGTTTGGTAGGAAGATTTTTTATATTTTAGAAGATCGTCTTCAGTAAATATCTTCCTGCTTATGATGTACTGGTGCATTTCTTTGAAATTTTCTTTTATTGGGAAACTAACGTGGTACTCCTGAAAACTATAATATTAAAATGAAAAGAAGTTGAGAAATTAATTAAAATATTTTTCGTTGAAAATTTGGTTACAGGCTCGTGGTTTCAGTTGTGTCTTTTTGCTCGATTGCGAGTCATATGTAGTAGTGGGTTGAAAGTTGAAACTTAGCTGGTAGTTTCTACTGTGGTTCTCAGATGGATGACAGCGGACATCGTGAAAATGGAAGGCATAAACCGCCTCTGGGTCAGGTATTTGGTAGCCATTAATCTCTGCACATTAAGTAACTGGCCATATGCAGTTTCTGCTTGTTGAGTTTTTGTTAGGACCGGTGGAGCCTAACCATAGTGTTTACTTGAGGGTTCTATTGCGCATTCATATATTTGTATTAAGTACCGTAGTCCCTACATAAAGGAATTTGAGGGGGTTGAGATAATAGAGGTGTGTGAGGGAAACTTGTACCTCGTTCCTCATTATAGCGAAACAACTCTTGCGATAAGTGGCTTTGCTCTCACATTGAGAGAGCAACACTGCACCATTCCATCCCTTGCATGGAATTTTTATTTTTTATTTTATTTTATTTTTTGGTTAGAAAGAAATTTGGCTCTTTCTGAAAAAAAGGTTGCGTTGGCAGAGCGAGATATGGCTATCCTACAACGAGATCAAGCAATAGCAGAACGAAACAATGCCATAATAGAACGAGACAACGCTATTGCTACCCTTCAGTATCGGGAAAATGCCATGAGCTGTGGTAATATTTCGCACTGCCCACCAGGATGCCAAATTGCACATGGGGTGAAACACATACACCATCCTCAACAGCATGTACACCATCAGTCTAACATGGGGGAAGCTCCATACAGTACGGGGGAATCTCACCTGCCTGACACCGTTCCAGCGTCCCCAGTTGCTCCTGAGCCTGAAAAATCCCGTCGTACGAAACGTACAAAGGAGCCAAAGGCTACCACCTCCGTAAAGAAGACGTCAAAATCCTTGAAGAAGGTTAAACAAGATGGTGAGGACCTGAACGAAACGATATTTGGGAAATCACAGGACTGGAAAAATGAGCAAGATATTGATGTTGACACTGATGACCTTAATGGGCAAATGGTTGTATTGAAACCAAATTGGAAAGATCAAGACCTGGGGCTGAACCAGGTTTCATTTGATGAGTCGACCATGCCAGTGCCCATCTGCTCGTGTACTGGGGTTCTAAGGCCTTGTTATAGGTGGGGAAACGGAGGTTGGCAATCTTCATGTTGTACAACCACTTTGTCAATGTATCCACTGCCAGCAGTGCCTAACAAGCGCCATAGTCGAGTTGGTGGTCGGAAAATGAGTGGAGGTGCGTTTAACAAGCTGCTCAGTCGACTTGCTGGAGAAGGTCATGATCTGTCGAATCCAGTTGATCTTAAAGATCACTGGGCAAAGCATGGCACAAATCGCTACATCACCATCAAATAAATATCTGATATTGTTGGGCCTGAAGGAGGATAATTCATGGGGAAAACATCTATTGATTATGATGATGCACGTCTGAGGAGGATTCATCGGCTTGCCAAGCTAAGTAAGGATAGTACCATAAATCTTCATCTCTCTCAATTATCATTCAGAATTAACAGGTTTGCTCCCTTGAAATCTTCTTCTTTATTTTATTTTCCTTTCTTATCATTTAAAATGTGTAGACCTTAATTGAAGAGCGATGAGACAGTCGTTATGTTTGTCTTACAGTGGGATGTGTTATGGTGAATTTGAATCCTGTGTTCATGTAACTGGATATAATTGTAAAATAGGGTTGCATGATCAATATACGTTGTTGTAGTTGAACTAGTCATAGATGTTAATTTGCAACAATAAGGTATGTTCATCATTTTTCTTTCTAGCAATAGTCATGAACTTTTGGACATTTGTTATATCTCATCTTACCGATAAAGGTGTTGAAATGACCGTCCGGGCTGCTCTAAGAGGGGTGAAAATGTGTTGGGCTATCCAGGCTAGCAGGCCAGGGCAACCCAACATGTGAAGACACGGCCGAGCTATGATATAGGCCATGTTATGAGACAGTGGAACCAGTCTGTTCCGGGCTCGAATGGGAGCCCGTGGCACACGTGGACAGTAATAAATCACGAAAAAACTGTATGGCCAGTTGGCAACAGTAGCCCGACGAGGACCATTTCAAAACCTGCTCGACAGTAGACCTGGTTGACCAGCGTGCTGAACATTAAACCATTTCAGTAGTGAAATGAAATGGATTTCCATGAAAGTTATTTCTATTAGCCCTTTTTTTTTGGGTGCTAAGTGGAGCTAGAGAATATTTTCGTTTTGATGGAGGACACCAAAACGGGCCTCAATGATCTTGTGACATGAATTTGATTCTAGATTCGAAGATTATCTTAGTACGCCCCAATGTCATGATCCGAGAGCAATAGTAAGCAAACAAAAATTAGGTATAAACATAGATTTATGGTGGTTCACAGTCAAATTTGCCATTGAAAGTTTCCTTAAATCCGAAAAGTTCCCAATGGAGACGGTCATGCCTCTCAGTCTGTCTCTCTTAGAAACTGCCACCTTGAGGGGATAAGTGAATACTGTCATCTGTGGAAACTTATCATGCTTCTCGTATATGTATGAAGATATGTTTGTTTGTACCACTCAGCATTTCCATTTAATGGGAATCTGAAAGGCATAAAAAAATCTGATAATATGGTCATCTATGATGGAGAATCCCGGTCGTTGAAGTTCTGTTTATTCAGACCACCGTGGATTCTTTCCCCAGAAATTTTTATAGGAGAGGATCGTTCAAAATCTAATTTCGTAGTTCATCAACTTGCAATTCTCAAGACCTTCGGGCCTCGAGTGGTGTTCGTGGTCGATCTGAAAATTTATAAATGGTCAAACTTGATATTCGACCACACATATTGATAGATTTAAAGGTAGGATTTATTTATTTACTACTCATTCTATCTATTTATGTATTGAATTGCTTATAAATTCTTTCCAAATGGAGGAAAATAGAAGGGAAAAAAATGAATTTATGTGGTAATGACATACTAGAACAACTAGACATGCTAGAGCATTTCGAAGCATTCATACTTCATGATTTTAGGCCTCGTTTGAGCCCCCCATTTAAAGAGAAAGAATGCATATTTAAATAGTGATTGATGAATAATGTGTGATTAAAAATTAAGGTAAAGTTTGGGGTTGAGTGTAATATAATTTTATTAAAGAATATATGGTTGAAAATGAGTTTTGAAAAAATAAATTTTAAATAGAATGAGGCTCAAACGAGAGCTTAATTCTTTTATAAGATCCTTAAATAATTTTGAATTACTACGAAGTACATACATAAATGTTCATTCAAGTCAAATCTGTTCGCTCGAATAATCATATTTAGATGTTCCCAAAAATCTATTTAAATAATAATAACAAGAAGTCATTCATTATCGTTTGAAACCCTTATTTCAATTTTCACAAGCAACTAACTAATCACAGTCATATCAACAAATTTGACATTACTAAGGTTACGATTTGAGTTATAATTTTGTTAAATTAGCAACGCTACAATTAAAAAAAAAATAAAAAAAATCATATTACTTAATAAGTAAAATAAAGTAAATTTAAAGTTGAGAGCTTTAAATAAATAAAATGAGTCAAACTGACACGTTTTATTGTGGTAACACTAATGAAAGTTTTCCTTAATCTCAACGTGACCTTCTTTTTCTTGTCCGTGGATGAAAAAATTACAAAAGAAATTAACAAATTCCATGTAGAGAAGGACCATATAATCTACAAACTCTAAAAGCCAAAATTCGTTTTAGTAAGGACCCAACCTTATACTCGATTGACCTCAACATTTTAGGCTGTCATATGTTTGACAGAGTTTTAATAAATTATAAGTTGGAAGTTTTATAAAGTATGTAATAAGTAAGTAAAAATAGGAAAAAAAAAATTATAAATTTTATAAAAAATATAAATAAAAACAAAAATTGACCAATTTATAAAAATAAACTTGGGTTAAATCTATTCATGGCCACCAACTTTATACTTAGTGTTATCATCGTCACCTAATTTGATTTTGTTATATCAGGATCACCCAATTTTATATTTAGGGTCTGTTTGATTGCGAAGATGGAATTTGAGTGGAAAGAAAATGAATTTTAGGGAATTGAATTACCTAAAAATTATTTTCCTAAGAATTGTAAATTATTGTGTTTGATTGGTATAATTTTTCACGTGGAAAATGTTGAAGTAAAAGTGTTTTTTGGCGTTCGTTTGGCTTTGTTTTACATGAAAATTATTAATTTAAGAGATATCCACTTCTAACATTGTTCCTAAAATTTGTTTCCATTGCCAACCAAAAAAAAAAAGGAAAAAAAAGATCAAAAAATTATCTATATTTTTGGTGTTCGTTTGATTTTGTTTTATATGAAAATTATCAATTTCAGGGACATCCTCTTTTACAATTGTTCATATAATTTGTTCCCATTGCCAACAATTTAAAAAAAAAATGGTGGAAAACTAAAAACGACCTACCCCTAGGAAAATAAAAGGTGGAAAATCACGCTTTAGAGTGTTGTACCTAAAAATTCACGGAAAATCAATTCTCTGGAAAATTTTGTCAATCAAACAGACCAAAAGTGGAAGTTGGAATTCGAATTCCAAGTTCTATGAAAAATTTCGTGCAATCAAACGGGACCTTAGTGTCATTATAACCACCCAAATTCATATAACGTTCATCATGGCCACGGGCCACCTTAATTTTGAAAGGGGTAAAATTGTAACTTTACATTATATATAAAAAATAAATTTAAAAAATAAAAATAAAAGTTTTTTATTTTAAAAATATTTGTAAATAAATTTTTATTTTATTTTATTTTTCTAAGTAATTTTTAAAAAAAATTATTTTAAAAAAATTTTCATTTTATTTTATTTTATTAAGGAACTTTTTAAAAAAAATAATTTTTTATTTTGTTATAATTTTTATTTTATTTTTAAAAATTAAGTTTTTATTTTATTTTTTGTTTTTTAAATTTATTTTATATATAATGCAAAGTTATTGTTTTACTTTTTTTTCAAAATTAGTGAAAATTGAGAAAAGAGTTGAATGACCATAATGAAACGTTGTATGAAATTGTATGATCATGACAAAATAAAATTAAATTGGACGATCACAATGATACTAAAGTATAAAATTAAACGATGATGATGAAATTAAATTAAATTAAGTGATACATCGAAATAGGACGAGCATTGATGGACTTAACTCAATAAACTTCAAACGTGGACGGAATGTAATGAAATGAAATCTCCGCACCGACTTTCTTACAATAATTCATTATTCTTTTAGCCCCTGTTTGGAAAAAAAAATATATGGAATAGTATTTTTTGAAAAATGAGTGGTTGAAAAAGAAAGAATTTTTTTTGATTTATATGTAATATTATTTTATGAAATATTATGTGATTAAAAATAAAAGAGAGAAAAATAAAATGTAATGTAATTGAATTTAAAGGTGCCAAACGGCGCTTAATATAATCTCTGAGTCACCTATGCATCTGCCTCTTTGGATGTAATCAAAGTTTTTGTCTTTTCACACCTCAACACTATTCGTTTTTCAAGCGTAATCTCCGCCATTTTCAGCGGGAAAATCGCAATTCCCATTTATTATTTGGCCGAAAAATAGCGGTCTAAAAACTGTGAAAAAAAAAGGTGCTTTTCAAGTCTTTCTGTATCAGGTATACACCAGATGCTATTTTTCTGAATGTTAGATTTAGATATAGAGTTCTTCTGGCATTTATTTCCTGTTTTATTGTTTCTTGATTCTAGGGTTTTTCTGAGGAGATTTGGGAGTGAAGATTGGCGCGAATGAACTGAATTTGATGTATTGACATTTAAATTGAAGTGCCCAAACAGCTAGTCTATGGTGGTACTGAAAAATCTAGAACTCTAGAAGCAGAACAAATGGCGTGACTAATGTTTTTGGCGTCCTGTTGGGTTGGGGTTTGAGAACAAAGTAGATTGGATGAACCCATTTGGTTTTGGAACTTAATTCTGTGATTCAGTTGTTATAAAAAAAGAAAGTTGAGCCTTTGAAGAAAAATTGGAAATTTTAATTCAGGTAGTCTTGTGGATTTTTACTTTGAATTTATTAGATTTTGATGGCTCAGCCTAATTCTAAGAAACCAATAAATCAGAATTATAATGTGATGAGTTGTCACTCGAGATCTTTATCTCAACCCACGTTTCTCACTAATAGTGGCTTGCCCCCATTAAGTCCTTTTTCTGGTACTGAGTTGTTGGCTTCTTCAAACTATAGTTTAAAGGACAAGGTGATGGAGGAAACAGATGTTAATCGGGGGCCACCACTTACTCCATCCTTTCCGAGGAAGAATGTGTGGCAAGGTAGTGATGGTCTTCTCCTGTGTAAAGGTCATCAACGTTCTAGCAGTGATGTTCCATTAGGATTTTTGAGTATGATTAAGTCTTCCCCTCTATTGGTGCCTATAAGTGGTCAGGCAGTATTGGGGAATACGATGCATATAAGAGAAAATCTTGGAAATGGTAAATCCATTGGGTTGAAGAGACGAGAAATGGATACAAGTAATGATAATAGGAGCAATGCAGAGGAGAAAGGTGTTAGGAAATCAGAGGGGGAGGTGGAAGATGATTTGTTTAATTCATGGGTGAAGTTTGATAGTGTAGATTCATTGAACTCATCAGGCATTGAGGATAAAGATAAGGACATTGTCGTTTGTGGCACAAAGATGAGTGGTGGTGACAACAACAGTACTGAATCAGAATCTGTCTCTAGGCATGGTTCGAGTTCAAGGGAAGACATCAAAAAGACCACGGCTGGCGATATTGCGCCTCCAGCCTTGCACTACAGGAGTCTTTCAATGGATAGTGCTTTTGGAAATTTGAAGTTCGGTGATGAGTCACCAATTTTTTTGGAAAATCCAGAGGGTTGGCTACCTCAAACCAATTCAATGACTGAAAACTCTTGTAAACTCAACCTGGAGTTTGAGCATGGTCAGTTCAGTGAAGTTGAGCTTATAAAGATTAGGGGAGATGAGATGCTTTCTGAAATTGCCTTCTTGGAGCCCAAACGTGCAAAGAGGTATGGTAGTTACCAATATTCCCTGTGTTATTGATTTTATCAAGTATTTTTTATTGAACGCATTCAATACTTTTGTCTTTTCATCTCAGGATATTGGCTAATCGTCAATCGGCTGCTCGTTCAAAGGAGCGTAAACTGCATTACATCTCAGAATTGGAACACAAGGTGCAAACTCTGCAAGCAGAGGCTACTACATTGTCAGCGCAAGTTACTATACTACAGGTTTGTGCTAACAACGTGAGAATTTTCTGCCATTTTTTAACATTTAATCACATATTTATTGGTACGCATATTTCCTCTTCAGAAAGACTATGGTGAGCTAACAAGTCAGAACAATGGATTGAAATTCCAATTTCAAGCCATGGAACAACAGGCACAACTGAGAGACGGTACGAAGTTTTCTTCCAAAATTATTTTTGTATAGATTGATATGGGGATGCACTGATTTTCACCCAGATACACACTTGCATCATATGATTGTTTCAGCCTTGATTGTATTATGAGTATTCATAGCTAAGCTTAAGAATTAAGTGAAATTAACTTAACTTTTTTGTTCTCAAGCATGTTCCGAAGTAACTGTTACCCCACTGTCAAAATAAGTTACTTTTTTCATTTTTCAAGAAATGAATTTATTTTGCTACTTAATAAAAGCTTTATGCTTCAACAAAAATGCTCTATATGTTGGAACCTAGTTGGTTCTCTCCACTCCCTGTCCCCTCTCTTCACTTGCTAGTCACTTACACTTGTGCTCGCTTTGAGAATGAAGTTATCTTTCTGCATTTATAGCTGAAGATCCCATCTCTGTTACCTCAGAATATTTCATTTCTGTTGAGTTATAGTAGCCTTGCAGCAGAATTCTGAGATTATTTATGAAGCTTATCTGATATGTGCCTTCATTTCGTCAAGAAATTTATTTTTTAAAAAGCTGATAAACAAATGGTGCGTTTTCAGCATTTGGTTAATCTATATCATTTTAATGGGATAAAGCAAATACTGCTAATTTATCTAATAGTGTGGACTTTATCACCATGATATTAATATCATGATTGAAGGTTGGGGCTTTTCTCTTTTGGGGAGATTTTGTTTTCTCTCCCTCACTTCTCCTTTTTCTTCTTTTATTTTGTGTGCTTTAGATCTTATAGTAGATCTAGAAATAAGCTGAACCGAGTGAAGAAATATGATTCCTGTAGCAGACCCAGGAACGTTACTTAGGCTTAAAAAAATGTTTTGCTAAGATTACAAGCTACTTAAATTGAATGTTTTGAAAAGCACGTCTTAGAAACTTTTAAGCTTAGCCAAACTTGGCATTTTTTTTGGGGTAGGATGGGGGTATTATATTTGTCATTAGGACCAATACTATTGGTCATCGTTTATTATTTTCTTCCGTATATCTTTCATAAGTAACTATTATTCTAATTCTTGTATTAAAGTTCAAGGATCCATATTACTCTCTCATGTTTGTAAGCCTATCCCAAAAGCCTGCTGATATAGTACTTACTTGATATGTAATTGAACTTTACATGTTAGTCATTCAAGATTATATGGTCTGTGCTTGGATAAGATGAGCAATCTAGCATGGGAAAGAGAAACAAATAAGAGAGAAAGAGGAGAGAAGAAAAAAGAGTCCGAAAATGAGAGAAATTTACAAAGGAAGGAACTGTAATTCTGATTAACATAAATCCAAGCCCTAGTTTCCCTTTTATATTTGCACAGAAGTTAATTTCAAGGGACTTATAAGACTTCACAAGCGTATTCAACTATCAACTTCCTAGATAATCAAATATAATCTTAGTCAAACTATCTATTATCCTATTTCTCCTTCAATCTCCATCACCAGGCTGCCAGCTCTAAACTTTGAGCTATAAGGCAGTGGATGGTTCAAACAACTAACTCATGAGTTTCAAGCCTGTGCCTCACAGTGTCATAGTTTAATGTATGCCAGCATTGTGTGATAGGCATGTTTGGCTAAACTTAAAAAGTTTATTAATAAGAGTGATTTCACTTGAAAATAATATCGTTAATTCTTTTTCTTTCTGTCTATTGTATTGTCTTCCTTCTTGGCTGGGAATTGGAAACAATCCTTTACTTTTTCTTACTTGGCAGCTCTGCATGAGGCATTGACCACAGAAGTTCAATGTTTAAAGAAGGTATTGACTGCAGAAGTCCAATGTTTAAAGCTTGAAAATATGGATCTTAAGGAAGAAGAGAGACTGTCCAACTTCATGGTGCATCAGGTGCCCCTGAAGCATCACATTTTCCAGATGCAGCATCAGCAGCCAAGTCAAATCCAACTATTATCAGTTGCAAAATCCATTACACCAACAACTACAAGTACTCCTGCCTCGGCATAGTTGTCTGGTTTCAAGGCATGGAGTGGTGAGTCTCAAGTTAATATTACGTACATTTGACCATTCATGATAAGCAACACAGTTTTCTGAGCTTGATTTAGACAATCTGTTATACCACATATTTTTGTCTTTACTCCATTATATTTATAATGATTTACACAGTGAATAAATATTTTGTTCATTGCATTTGTTTTATAAAATATGAATTTTATATAGACTCTAAGCTAGGGTGTAATGCTCGACTCCCTCCCCTCTTCCCAAAAAAAAAAAAAAAATATTTGGCCTTAGATGATTTGTAGTTGATTGAAACAAGTTCTAGTGTTCCTTAAGCATTTGTGGCTATTTGGGATTATCCTTTGACCTTATGCTTTGTGTGAATTTAACCCCCTTTTTTTTTGTGTGTGTGTATAGATACATGAAAGAATCTTTGTTATTTCAGTTGAGTGGCAAATTGTCCACGCATTAATTTTCAAAAATTTCAATGTTTATTGATTTTTTTAAAATAAATATGCACTTGTAAAAGAATATTTTGAATTAACATTGAAAAGATACGTCTAAAATGGTGCCCATTTGAAAAGCTTTTTAAATCATTTAAATAAATATGCACTTGTAAAAGATGTCTTTGTTCTTATTTAAATTCTTTTCTTGAAGATGGATTAAGATGGATCAAAATACATGTGCACAATGTTAGGTCGTCTATAAATTTTACTATAGCACATTGTCGTTGAAAACTTAATAAAATGTGGACTTACATTGAGAAATATGTCCACACTATGGAAATGCCTTGGTTTGTGAAATGTTGCATTAAAAATCATATTCGGGTCATTACATATTCTTATTGTGAGAACTTGTGTATTTTTTTAAATCAAATGAAACAAGGTGATTATTTTCTTAATTCGAAAGAAAAATCTTATTTAATGTGGCAATTTAAAATAGTTGTGGTTGCGAAAGACCTAGTTGTATTGGATCTTATTATTTATGAAAAGAATGAATTAATGAATTTATAGTTGTTGCATTGTCTTATCATTATATTAGATAGATCTTGATGTTTAATAAAAAACATGGGTCCTAAGGATATGTAGTAGTTAGGGAGGACGTAAAGATGTGCCAGGGGCCAGAGTCGGGCGTGCTAGGCCTAAAATCTCTTGGCCATGTGACCAGGAAATGTTGGGCGTACCATGCGTAAGTCTCCTGGCCTTGAGGCCCGGAGATGTTTGTTTTACAAACTTTTTGCCATTGTTCTGTTGCTATTATTCAAGGGGTGGACCTTGGACATGTGGTGGTGGCAGAATTTGACTTATAAGCATGCTTGTAAAAAAGCTTAGCAACCTCATGATCTTGCTGCTTCAACTTGCTTGTAATTGTAATAATTTCTATCGAGAAAAAGAGTGAAAGGAACTTTGCATCACTTTGTATTTTATGCTTTTTCCATGTGAATGGAGGCTCCACACACCTTATTAATGTTCAATTCAGAGTCCAATCCCCTGTTGCACCCTAAATGCCCAGTTTCCACTTATAAGTAATAAGCGTCATTGTGACATTCTATCCTGAATGATTAGTTTCAGCATCAGCATGGTGGAATGTTACTTTTTCTTACATATAAGTGAAGATATAGGGTAGCGTGGACTGACCTGCAAGGACGGCCCACAGCACAGCCTGTACTTCACCTAGCCTTGCTTGAGCCGTGCTCAAAGTTCACATTTTGACATTCCTAAAAATTTTGATGTTAGATTAAGAATGGGTCATACAATCATTCATTAAAAGCAAAGCAAGAAAAGGGAGAGAGACCTCACAACTAATAGAATATGGGAGGAACATTATTATAGAAACCTTATCAACATAACTTATTTGATTGAATTATTGCCATGTTGCCTTTTTACTACAAGACATGTACATTTCATTACATGTACAAATGGTACGTTCGAATACTATATGACATGATTGATTGGGCATATTAATGTTTGTTGCCTTGGATCACCCCCTCCCATGATAGATACTTCGTTTACTCGTTTGACATAGCTTCTTGTTGTACACTATGGTATAGTTGATTAGATTGAAGTTTTAGCTCGAAAGTTTAGAAAAAAGAAAAATTAACGATATTTTTCGTAGAATTAATAAAATGTAATGTAATATTATACTATACGACTTCATGGAATGAATTAAATATAATACTATCAAGAACAATCAATTTACACGTCAATAGGCTTTTAATATTCTTCAATCAATTATCTATTCACCGGTTGCATCATTTCATATAGGGGTGAAAAGTGGAGCGAGTTGAATTGACTTGTAAGTCGTAAGTAAAAAATTTCTTTTTAAAAAATATTGATGAGTCGCCTGCGTTTCATGGGGAGAATTGAATTACACTTTGATTAACCAAGTCAAGTTGTTGATGAATTGAATCGAACGGCTCGACTTATCCCGCTTCACACCTATAATTTTACATATGACATGCACGGACACCAGCATAGCAATGCACATTATAGTGTGTTATGCTATTTGTATAAAGTATGTTTACAAATTTAGTTGACAAAATAAGTGTCGGAAAAATTCAGGTCATTGATTTCTAATGATTTAAAAATCTATTTTCGAAATAATTAGTGTAGATATTACTTTGTTATCTAATTTTATAAACCCACTTTGTACATATATCATAATTTCATTACAGTCGCACAAAACATTAATCCAAACAGAATAATCCTAATCCAATGATAATTGGATTAATGTGTCATCTGAAGTGTGGCTCCCAATGTCTGACACGTGGAAAATGAGGACAGAATTGGTGTCAACAACAGCAAATTGGTGGGGGGTATCCGAGGAGCAACATTATTAGACAACCCCGTTTTGTCTGACCCGTTGGTTAATGACCTACTTGGACGGGGTCCACCTAGGACCAAAATGAATCAAGAGGAAATTTCATAAAATGTCCATTTTTATCTAGTCATTTACAAAAATGTCTACTATTTCAAAAATGTCTAATTTGAAAGAATTTAGACCAAAATACCCTTATTAACAATTTATAATTTCACACTAAGACAAAAAAGGGACATTTTTGCAATATTATTAGTGGTTAATAAAATTTTGACACATAACTTGTCATATTTATTTCAAAAAGTATATATGTCAAATCATAATAAATGCTTTGTTTTTCATTGATTCATAAATGTCAAGAACGACATTTTTAAATGTAGAGAAATGTCATGTTCAAAATGAAATGTCATTTTAGACAACTAACGGTGTTCAAATGTCGAGAATGACGTATGAAATGTCAAGAAATATTATTTTAATGTAGCTTCTCATGAAAGCGACTTCTCAAAATTCTTGACAAATTGATAAAAAAATCAAATGTCGAGAACGACATTTAAAATGTCAAGAATACCATTTCAAAATGTAACTTTTCATTAAAACCATAATAGATAAGTTGACATTAAATTTAAATGAGTGGACATTTTTCAACTCATACCCATAAAATTGGACATTCTTAAAAATGCCCCGTGAATTAATTTAGTAGTAGTTTTTTATTTTTTAGTTTTTTTGGGTGACAGTAAATGTTACATTATTGTCTATATTGATTTCCGACTTCAATCAATGAGAATATATAATACTGAACAATGCGATTCGTTTTTATATGCGAGCAAAGCGTTTTTTCTAATAGATAAGAAAAATCAAGGAGAGTAGAAACATAGTTTATTAAACGAACTTTACTATTTGTATACTAATTTTTGACAATTTAGTTGATATTTGTATTGTTGTCAAGTGTCAATTGAATGGAAAAACTGTTTGAAATTTAAACTGTCCAATAAAGTAATGCCACGTGATAAAGTGTAAACTAAAGTATGCACAATAGTGTACATGTAATAAGGTTTGTATTAACACAATTCCATCGTCTATAATAAGTGAAAGCAGAATAAATGCTTTTAAAACTTGACAATAAAAGAGTTGTAAGGAAGTTGAATAGGTGTTCTTCAAATAATGTTGTTAGCTACCACCCCATGGATCAACATATTAGATCAATCAAGTAAATGCTCTAAGGGTTTGTTAAAAACTTACTATAAGTGAACTTTGTAGTCATAGCAAAACTTGCTCTCAATTCCCAACTCAAATTTCTCATATTAAAGAGGTAATCAAAATTATATGATTTATTTTTCTTTCAACTTCTTATTATCAACCTTGCACCTTTTAGCTGAGTATGCATAAGTTTGGATTTTATTATTAGTAAATTTTAAGAGGAGTAGTGATGTGGACAACAAATTGTGTGGATAATAGTGAACAGTAGTTTAAATTTGTGGTTGAAGTTAAAGTTTAATTTTGACTAGGTAGTGGAAGTTCTTTACTAAAAATATTTTCAAAACGGAAGCGATAGAGGAGGATGGAAGTGCAATAAGATCAAATGATTTTCTCGTGTTCAATACAGAACAACAAAAATAATAAAGATTATAGTCCTATGAAATTATTATCTTTGCTAAATTTAGAAATGTTGGTTTATGTCGTGATAGTGTTGCTTTTCAATTACCCTAAAGATGTGCAATAGAATTCTATAAAGAATAGCTAACTTGATTTCTTGACACCTTACAAGAAATGTGTATAAGGCGAACGAGTGTTAAATAGGTCAGGTCGAGTTGAGGTGATTGACTTGCCCATCATATGAGTTGACTAGTTCTTCCTTGTGGAGTGAGCCGAGTGCGAGCTGGCTCGTTCCACCAAATGTTGGGCTCAATTTCGACTCTCCACTAAGGGGCTCAACTCAACATATCATGCGAGCTAATTAGTGCTCGCTTGTGGAGGAGCCGAGCACGAGCTGACTTGCTTCCCTAATTGTGGGCTCGGTTCATCCCACTCGTCTCCGTCATTATTTTAATGAAAATCATATTTCATTTATAATTTTATGAGCCAGCTTGTAAGAATTTTTTGTTGTTCGGCTTGTGCCTGCAGCTTGGCTTAACTCACCAACCACTGTTTTCTTTTGCCACGCACCTTTACTTTCTCTACTTCAAATTTAGTATCCCGAATTGGATCCATGTGAAGTAAAATAGAATGTTCTTTTTAAAAAGTCAACTTCGAGTCTTGCAACAAAGTTCTCTTAACAACACCAATCTTGTTTGTTAACATATTAGCTGACGCTTAGGAAGGAGCTGAACTAAACCCTGCATTAAGCAACATTGGAAGAATTTTGCTGGCTCCTGATTCAATCATTTCAAAGAAGCTAAGAGTACAACAAACAACACAAACAAGCTAACCTTTTTGCGGTATGTAATTAGGATTTCATCTCCTCTACAAACTTCTCTCTCTTATAAAGAATAAGGGATCGAACCCTATCTTTCTTCTCGTCCTAACATTTTCTTACCTTTTTCATTCATTCGATTTGAAGGGTGTTATTAGAAAGCCAAAATAAAAGAAAGACCTTACCCAAGCTGTCTATTTACGTAGGTGAATCAAGTACAACAAGGTCAGAGCTTGTGAGTAGGGATGTCAAACGGGTTGAGCGGTTGGACGGCTTGGGCTCATCGAATGACGAGCCTGAGCCTAAGTCGAGCAAGGGGCTCATTCTACGAACCAAGCTCACGAGCGGCTCGTGGGCACATAGTTCACGAGCCCACGAGCCATAAAAAATGTACAAATTTACAAAAAAAATAAAAATAAAAATAAAAAATAAAAATAAATCACAAGCTCGCGAGCGGCTTGTGGGCTCGGCTCGACCCGTGAGCTAGTCCCCAAGCAACGAGCCAAGCTCATGCGTGAAAGGATTAGCCTGCTTGACTCATTGACATCCCTACTTGTGGGTAGAAGATTTGGATAGTTAAGACAATTAGACACTTTAATATTTATAAACTATAACTTCAAGATACTTTTTTACTGTGTTCTTAAAATTTCATCGTTGGGATTGAAACATTAAACGGATCAACTGTAGCATATTGAGTATTAATCATCGATTAATTATTGTTCTGTGTGCATGTGAATATATTATTGAACCGTCATTCTTTGATCAAATTCTGAACCATAGTTTGTAGATTACGGTCACACAATATAATTATTGTTGTGATGTGATTATTGTACCTTAGTTGAAGTAGCACCATTATAGAGGCTTTAGGTTAAGTAGAAAGACTATGCTTTTTTTTTTTAATTAGCAAATAATTACAAGTCATTATGATACAACAGATTAAGAAGAACATTTCCACTTGATAAATACTTTTAATTTCATAATTAAAAAGTAAAAACTTTTTCTTACATAATTGGCTACATAATGGTGTCCATAATAATACGTGGCACTGAATCCAATCTTTAATTTAAATCTCACACTTGCACATCAACAGTCGGATGATTATCACATCACATTATGAACAACATTACGTGCAATAATTATGTACAAATAGAATTTTCTTTATTATTATTGGTTTGTTTTGTTTTTAGACGGCTTTAATGCAGAAACGCAGCGCTATAACCCGGATTTGAAATACGCAATTGAACTATATTTAAGGCAAGTGTTGAGATCCGTGTTCCCATAACTGGCCTTATTTTATCCGGTGCAATTACCAACACCAATTAAAGAAGGCAGTAACCAGGTACTACTGTGACACTATTCTAGAGTGAGAAGTAAAGTGAGGGTGAGAGACAATGGGAAGATCGGGTGCATCGTCATGCTTCAAGATCATCACCTGCGGCAGTGATTCCGTCGACCGCGACGATATCCAAGCAACCGATGTATATATGGACTATGTCTATGTCTAATTATTATGAATCTCTCTTATCAGTTTCCTTTTGCTTTTCTTTTTTGTGATTCGAGTCTGATATAACAAAATCTGCGCATTACATTTCTGTTTGTTTAATTTCTTAAACTGCATTTTGAATTTTTTAGATGTAGAATTGCTGTTTTTATTAATGCATCTGGTTTGTCAATTATAGCTGTGTTTGGGAATAGGGTAGCTTGTAATTTGTTGTTTTGTTACTTATAGTAGAAAACGCATATTTGTTTGTTTTTCTGTGATTTTTGAAGCGCTAGTATGATATCTTTGATAAAATCTTTTTGCAGTGTATATGGATATCTGTTTATATTTGATCTGAAACTTCATCAAAATTGTCGAGTTTCTAAATATAGAAGATGACGGGTTTGAACTGATGATCTCTTGTATGTCCAATGAAAGAAAAAATTTCCAAATCATGAAATTTATAAAGTTAGGATCTTTTGTTTGTGCGCTTTATAAGATGGCATCTTTTGCTCCTCTCTCACTTGCTGGCTTTAATGCATAGACGATACTAGTATAAAAGTCATTGTACAAAACAATGTGTCCGTGCTATGTCAATTGAAATTTGAAATAACGGTACCAAAATGCAGCTTTATTATTGCCATTGTTAATTTATGTTCAAGCAAGAGTGGAACATTTTGTTGGGAATTGGGATTAAATAAAAATCAGATCTTTGAACCTAATATTTAAAAATTATCCTGTGTTTTCTTCTTGTTAATTGGCGCTCATTTTTTAAGAAAAAAAACTTATTTTGATTAATTTAATTTGGATTAGCATATTCTCCTTGCATTGATCGTTCTATATGTTTCGAGGTTCTATTAGTGATTTTGGGAAGCTCTTTTGGACCTGGTTCCTTGTGACGAGCGTATTAAGATGTGTCTGATTTCGTTACATTAAGTTGCCTTTCTTTGGTTCCAATTCTTTGGACTAGATAAATGAGAAGTTTAATCTATTTTGATTAATAAATGGGAGTATAATTTCCCTTGGAATAGTGCTTGAGAATGGACGTTCATTCCATAGTTTGGTTTAGTACAATTGTGATCTGAGTCATTTAAGTTTGTTGCTCTAGTGAATTATGGATAAGATCATGGCATATGTGAATGATGCTAATAGTGTACGTATATACTTTGATGTTGGAAAAATGTTCTATGCCTGCACTCAACTTAAGGTGTATAATCATAGTGTGCTAGAAAAATATTAGATATTAGAGATATTCATTTTAGGGAGCGCACTTATTCTCATGCAGAAATTGCTACATTCCCTTTCCTGGTAACTGTATCTTCAGTTCCCAAGATCCCATACAAATAGTTAGATACTGAAGTATAATTTAAGTAACCAAAAGATTTTCGGATTACAGGTCCCAACTCCAATATGATCCCCATGCTTTGTTAGCCCATACTGCTCCAGAATCCATGCCATCTATAAGTTTGAGAGCACGTTTGGGAAGGGATTATAAATGGTTTAAATTATAAATAGATGAAAATGAGTGGTGTATAAATATGTAGTACTTGTGGGTCATTTGAAATGTGTGGATAAAAGGTGGCTTGAGTCTTAATAAATAGCTTATAAACATAAGCCATAAATAGGCTGAATGTTATAATGAAATATAAGAACTATGCATACATAACAATAACAATATTATGTGATGATACCTGAAGCTCCTGATGCCCAAAGATGACAGACGACAGCAACTTCCGATACCTGAAAAAGGCTATTTCCGTCGATGGGACTCCGATGACTAGTCAGTGAAGCATATGGAAGTGTTTAAATATAAAAGCTGAAAAGAACGTGGTTTCAAGAAGATACCTGTAGGAGTGGGGTGACTAATATATAGTCAATTCTTCTAATGATGTGGCATGGGATTAGTTGTCTATGGATACGAAAGGTGTCATATCCGCTCCTTGATCCCTGGAGGGAATATAGGAAGAGAGGTGTTCACCATATTGTAGAAGTTAAAACAATGGATGTATCCTTTAATGCCTCGGTGTCTAGAGCTTTCATCGTGGTTGGCCCATCGACCTGTTATTTCGCAGTTGACCTTCTGCACTCGTGACTTCTCCAGTTGGTTTGATTGGAGTCTGGGTAATTATCGGTCGACAGTTGAGAACACGAGGCAAAATGACAGCTATTGATTGACCACAAGGGCAAGAAACTCACAGTTGCTCATCTAGGTGTTCCTTCAACTTTGGTCGTGGGATTTTGCTTCCCTTCTAAACACGTGTCTTTCATTTATGGTTGTGTTGATGGTGACTCCTATCTACTTATGCACGATGCCATTCATAAGTAGCCGGGTCAACATCACATACAGTCTATCTGGAGTTGAGTTCTGTCTAATTTCAATATCGTTATAGATTCTACTGGCTAAGTAAAATTAGAACATAAACATGCATGATATGCATGATATTATGCAGCCAATGACTCTATGTTCCTTTTTTATTTTATTTTAAATACTGTGCTTTTATGTCACTTAGTGTGCAAGTTAACATAAAAGTAAACTTTGACAGAATGAGAGAGGAATTTAATCTCAAATAACAAGCAACCAAGTATGTTTTTAGAGAAAAATTGTAATTGTCAGAAAATTGTTAGGGATATGGAATTAGAAAAATTCCCTTAATCTGTTTTAATTATTAGAGAAACTTGTTGAATATTAGTATCAACAGTGCAGTCTGCTTGCTAAGTAATGAATTACGTCATCATTACTTTTAGGGCATTCGAATGCTCAACATCAGCCTGAACAAATGATGAGATTTAAGTAGCGAAGAGTGTGAATTGCTGTGTTTAGTAATTTAGTTGCACATACTGAGCTTTCTACATGGAAAAGATTGAGAAATTAATTACACATAATCTAAACCAAGTTATTGACTAGTTTATAACATGATGTCTAATTTAAATATGAATCTTTTTATAAAGTAACAAAAACAATAGATCCAGTGTTGGTTGAATTTGATGCTGTTCTTAATGATTTTTGCTTTCCTTGTATTGCTGTCTTAAAGTGAACACTCTGCGTGTGATTTAAATGAGACAATAGACTAAATATCTAATACAAATTTTGCCTCTAAAATAAACATTAGTGTTCATGTCCAATGGTGCATTAATCATGGTCACAGTGCATACATAAGATCTTGAAATAATACTGTTTGAAATTTCATGCACCTTTTCTACCCGTGGTTTTTCATGCCTGCATATATTTGACTAAAATCCAAATACTTGTTTGTATTCTACACCTTCAATGAGCGTATGACATGGCTGTGCATTTAGTTTCAAATGTCTTCTGGCAGGTATGTTCCGTGTTACTCCTTTGTCGTTCTTTATGTGCCATGAGCTCAATCCTGTTGTGCATTTATGCCATTATCCATTTCTTCTTAAAGAAGAAGCCAAAGTTTTTCTCCTTAGCATCTTCACTGAATTTAATTATGCAGCTAGAATTTTGAATTTGAGTCGGCATTGGCATCGGTTTTGTTGAGGTTATTTGATTTCCTTTTCAGCGTGATGATTCAAGTGATAGATGGGGATGGAGTTTCCGGAAGAAATCTGCTAGACATCAAGTTCTGAACAACACTGTTATCTCAGGAGCACCCTCTTTGAACAAAGCAAGCTCGGCATCTGCCACTGTCAGCTTCCAGTCACAACCTAACTTGACTTCTCCAGAAAAAACTTCTTTAATTCAATTGACAGATGAGAAAATTGAGTTGCCAGCTCAAGTGAGCTCAAAACTATTGGACACCATAACTGTCAGAGAAGATAACCCTGCTGTCAAAGGGAGCCCAGAGGAGTCCATTGTTATTGCTATCCAGGCTGCTATTAGGGGATTTCTTGTATGCCATTTTACCATTTTATGATTCAAGCTTCGTTGAGTACATAAACTACTATTCCTAGAATTTTTTCTTCTTATGTCATATCAGGCTCAGAAACTACTACTCAAGCACAAGAACATAATTAAGTTACAAGCTGCTGTACGAGGACATATAGTTCGGCAACATGCTGTGGGAACTCTTCGGTGTGTCCAAGCCATTATAAAGATGCAGATTCTTGTTCGAGCACGTCGTGCTTGTCAGCTTGTAGAAGGATCTTTAGAGAAGGAAAAGAATAACCATGGGAATGATGGTCACATTCCAACACTATTGGTAGTGGCATTCCATTTTATTATCTCGATAATTTTCAGCATCCTCCCATGACAATGAAAACGTTAATTAATATTATCTCTCATGTCTATTTAATGATTGCTTCTTCATGTGGAGCAGGACCAACAATTTATTATTGTTCACAGATTAGCTTTTCTTGTGCTCGCAGATGGCTTTTTTTTTTTTTT